TAGTAGTAGTAGTAGTAGTAGAAGTGGTGGCAGTAGAAGTGGTAGTAGTAGTAGTAGTAGTAGTAGTAGTAGTAGTAGTAGTAGTAGTAGTAGTAGTAGTAGTAGTGGTGGTAGTAGTAGTGGTAGTAGTAGTAGTAGTGGTAGTGGTAGTAGTAGTAGTAGTAGTAGTAGTAGTAGTAGTAGTAGTAATAGTAGTGGTGGTAGTCGTAGTAGTAGTCATAGCAGTAAAAGAAGAAGTGGCAGTGGTGGTGGTAGTCGTAGTAGCAGTCGTGTGCGTAGTGGTGGTGGTGGCAGTAGTGGTGGTAGTGGTAGTAGTCGTCGTCGTGGTCGTCGTCGTCGTCGTGGAGGTGGTGGTGGTGGTGGTGGTGGTGGCGGTGGTGGTGGTGGTTGTGGCGTGTGTGGCGGCAGCAGTGGTGGCAGCGGTGGTGGCAGCATTGGTGGGGGCGGCGGTTTTTGTCGCCGCGTTGTTGGTAGGGGTGCCGCATGGGCGGCGGCGTTGGCGGTGGTGGTGTTGGCGGCAGCCGCGGCGGCGGGGGGGCGCGGCCACCATTGGGGTTGAGGAGGTTCTGGGGGCCGCGGCGTTGGCGTTGCGAGCGCTGGGGCGCTGGGTGCCTCGAACTAGTGGCAGCGGCGGCGGCAAGGCCCGTGGCGGCAGGGCAACCAGTGACACTGGGGGCGGCAGTGGTGTTGGTGGCGGCGGCTTATGGGGCGGGTCGTGGGGGCCGTGGCCGCGGCAGCGGTGAAGTAGCGGCGGCGGCGGCGATGGTGGTAGGGTGGAAATGGTATTTGGGGCGACAGGCGCTGGCCGCGGCGGTAGAAGTGGCTGTGGCGCGCCACAGGCCAGGCGTGGTGGCGTGTGTGGCGGTAGTGGCGGAAGTTGGCGCGGTCGCGCAGGCGGGGTAGCAGTGGGGGTTTGGCTGCCGGTGCAGCAGTGGCAGCGGCGGCGGTGGGCGTGGCTGGCAATGCCAGAGGCAGCGGCAGGGGTGGCGGCGGTGGCGGCGGCTCTCGCAGTAGTGGCAGTGGCAGCAGTAGCCGTGGCGGCCGTGCTTGTGGGGGCCTCAAGCCTTTGCAGGCACAACAGAGGGTCGCAAATTGGGATTTCTTGGCTCTGCGCAGGGTGTCCCCGCACGGCGCTCATGTGCCTCAATTCCACGTTTCTGGCGTGTGCAAACCACAAAGCAGAATTAAAACTCGGCATACTTGCACAGGATGCTATCTACAGTTATTTCCGTTGCAATTGTAATATCACTGCACTGTGGGAGTCTCAAGAGGGTTTTCTGGCAGCCCTGCCAAGGCAGTGTCGGGGGCTGAGCGGTGTGGCGAGCTGCGGACAGCTACGTTGAGGAAAAAACATTCATTTCTTTGGGTGGGGGGGGGGCACTATTCCACTCGGGGGCGCACCATTGCACTCGCCACAGCCACGCCCGCCGCCCTCATTTTCCACCGCCCCAGCTACGCTGCCGCCATCGCCACCTGTGCTTCATGGCTATAGGCGACGCGACATAGAATGGGGCAAGCAGAATATGGCTCCCTCCTGCGCTGAAAATTTATGGGTAATACAGTAAAATGGGGCAAAACTCTTCCCACATGCTGACCTTCTTGGGTTCAATTCCTGGCGGTGCCTTTGGGGCCCGGAGCTTCGTGGGGGCTGGGCTGGCTCTGGTGGGGCGGGGCCTGCAGGGGCTGGGCGCGGCCCTGAGGCAGCTGCGGGGCCACGCATCTGGAAGCGGAAGCAGAGGCAACGCAAACAAAAGACAAAAAACCATCGAACAGCCGGGCTTGTAAGACCACGCCCGGCCTACTAATCCCACCAGCCCTTTGGGCGTGAGTGGTTTAGAGAGCCCGCTCTGTTCTCAACCCCCTTCTTCCCCTTTGGGGAGGGGTTTACCCCTCCCCCTCCCCCCTCCCCCTGGGCATGGAGAGGTCCTTTCGCGGGTGGTTGGAGGGGTCTTGCTCGACTCCTGGGAGGGCTAAAAACCGACACCCCTCACGAGGATTCTGGCCCCGACGGGGGAAAACCCGCCCCTCTTCTTTGAAGCCAAAATCATTGATTTTACTACGGTTTTGGCCCCAGTTTGGCCTTCTGAGGGGGCAGCGCTAATTAAAGCTCCCCTTTTCTTTCAAGCCAAAATCATTGATTTTACTAAGGTTTTGGCCCCATTTTGGCCTTCTGAAGGGCCAGCGCTAATTAAAGCTCTCCTCTTCTTTGATCGATTTCCTCCAAGATGGCCCCAAGAAGCGCCCAGGAGGCACCAAGAGGCCCCAAGATGGCCCCAAGAGGCCCCCAGGAGGCCCCCAAGAGGATCCCAAACGGCCCCAACGAGGCCCCCCCCCGAGGCACCCAAGACGCCGAAAAGCCCATCAGGACGACCCTCTACTCGCCTGGGCGTCGTTTCTGGACGGGCAGGAGGAGGGGCCCGAACGACTCACACCAGGACGAGGGGCCCGAACAACTCACACCACGAGAAGCCCGAACGACTCACACCAGGACGAAGAGCCCGAACGACTCACACCACGAAGAGCCCGAACGACTCACACCAGGAAGAAGGGCCCGAACGACTCACACCAGGACGAGAAGCCCGAACGACTCAAACCACGAGGAGCGCTTTCTCTCCCTCCTCCTCCGCCTCGTCCTTCTCCCGCTCCCACCACAAGGAGGATGTACAAGGAGGCGGGAGGAAGGAGGAACAGGGGAGATATGCGGGGGCAGGCGGAAACACGCCTGAAAAACACGACTGTCGGCATGCTTCGCTAGAGTTGCTGTTTTGAGATGGGCTGGTGGGGATACGCGAAGCGTGAAGAATTCCTACGGATCCTACCACTTCCCAAATTTCTGGGAGGGCCTCCTCAGGAGTCCTAGGAATTTCCAGGGATCCTATCAATTTCCAGACTCGTGAGAGGGCCTCTCAAGTAACCCTAGGAATTCCTAAGGATCCTACCAATTGCTGGATTCCTAAGAGGGCCTCCTAGGCAATCCTAGGAATTCCCAAGGATCCTACCAATGTTTCAGATGCCTGGGAGGGCCTACACAGGAACCACACGAATTTTTAACGATCCTACCAATTGCCAGATTCCTAAGAGGGCCTCCTATGCAATCCTACGAATGCGACGGGGTCCCACCAATTGCTCCGATTCCTGGGAGGGCCTCCGAGGGAACCCGACGAGTAATTCCAAGGGATCCTACCAATTGCCAGATTCCTGAGAGGGCCCCCTAAGCAATCATAAGAACTCCTTGCCAGATTCCAGAGAAGGCCTCCGAGAATCCAGAAAAAATCCGGGAGATCCTACGAATCAGCAGATTCCTGAGAGGCCTGCTTAGGCTCTGCGGAAGCTCTGCGGAAGCTCTGCAGAAGCTTTTCAGAAGCTCCTCAGAAGCTCTGCAGAAGCTCTGCGGAAGCTCTGCGGAAGAGAAGCTCTGCCGAAACTCTTGGCGCGGTTGCAATCCGGTGGTCTCCACAAAGATGTGTGCAGGAATCCTTCAGGTTGCGATCAGTCCGTTTCCAGTGGTTGTAATCTGACCGAAGCAGTTGCTGAACAGTTCGAAGTGGTCGCAATCGGTCCCAGACGGTCCAACACGGCCCAAGACGGCCCAAGGTGAGAGCCTCAGGACGGCCCACCCCGGCCCAACACGGCCCGAGGACAGTCCAAGAGGCCCTGAGAGCCTTCGAAAACGGCCCACGAGGCCCCCAACAAAAAGCTCCAAGACAGCCACAAGACGGCCCAAGGAGAGAGCCTCAGAACGGCACACCCCGGCCCAACACGGCCCGAGGATAGTCCAAGAGGACCTGAGAGCCGTCGAAGACGGCCCACGAGGCCCCCAACAAAAAGCCCCAAGACGGCCACAAACCGCCCTCAAGGCTGCCAAGGTCGGCCCCAGGATTGCCCAAACGCCATGCAAGAAGGCCCCAGGACAGCCCAATATGGTTCAGATTCGGCCCAAGAGGACCTTACGATGCCCAAACATTGTCTCAAAGACGGCCGCGGAAACAACCAAGAAAAGAGAGGGTACTCCAAAACGGCGCTTGCTCGAACAATGCACTGAACTGGAACGGGCTGCAAACTCGATTTACGCCCCGCTATGCTGCTGCGCGGTGGCGGAGGTTGGCGCAAGCAGCCTGACATGCGGAGGGTCAAAGGAGGATACAGGATGCAAACTGGGAAGGAAAGGGATGGGGAGGGGGAGGGAGGGCGGAGGAAGCAAGCCCCCTTGGTCTCAGCCCCTTGAAGCTAGCGAACGAGTGTCCTGGGAAGTAGCCACTGTTTGTCAGCCGTTGCAGGTCGGAGCAGGTCGGCTGGCAAGGATGCCAGCTCGATTCGGCGAGCAACGGGAGCATCGGAATGGCAACAAGATGCTGCCAGGCAGCCGCTGAGAGTGGTGCAAGGTGGCACGAACCATGCACAGAAGTCTCAGAAGCCCTGTAAAAGAGCCAGCTCTCCTAAGCGCAGGAAAGCACTGCCGCATGCGTCGCCCGAAAGGGCGCACTTGCTTGTCATATACCCACTTCTCAAGCATCCCGCATGGTCACGCGAAGGTTGCTATTGCAAGTGGCGATTCGGAGGAAGGTGCCTGGCCACTAGTCACCACTTTTAGCAAAGACGTGCGCTTGGTACAAGACGCTGGGGGAGTCATCACCTCTTTGTGGTCGTCTTCCCCAAGCAAGCCTCCGACGGCAAATCCTGATCGCCCCAAATGCTTCACATGCACATTCAAGTACAAGTTGCCACTCTCTGTGCGTCCGTGGACGACTTTCAGCTCGACAGGACCAACAACGACCCATTGCGGAATCGTCACGGCGTTTTGCCGTACGCTGTAGTGATACCCTCCAACTTGCTTAGCCTCTGCCCAAGAGCCTGTAATGTTCAATTCGTTGAAATACATATCCGAACAAATTCCACCCGATCGACGCGCATCTGCCTGCACCCGAAGCAATGCGTCATCAGCGCTCACTCCACGAGGGATGTTTATCAGAACATGTTTGCCCGGCTTCATTAAATCGAACCGCTCGCCGTGAACGTTTTGAAGGTGCGGATCGCCGGTGGCAGCCACGCCTCCGGCGGCTCCGCCCGCCATGGGAGCTGCGGGAAGAAACGTTGGACTTGGCGTCGGCCAACCCAAAGGATACGTCGGACTGGGGGTCGGGCTGGGCGTCGGGAGTGACGTCGGGTAGGGAGTCGGGAAAGCCGTGGGGTAGGCCGTCGGGAAAGCCGTCGGGTAGGGCGTCGGGAAGGCCGTGGGGTAAAGCGTCGGGAAAACCGTGGGGTATGACGTTGGGAAAGCTGTGGGGTAGGGCGTGGGGTAGGGCGTCGGGTAAGGCGTCGGGTTCGGCGTTGGCTTCGGCGTCGGGAACGGCGTCGGGTTCGGCGTCGGGTTCGGCGTCGGCTTCGGCGTCGGGTACGGCGTCGGGTTCGGCGTCGGGTTCGGCGTCGGTTCCGGCGTCGGGTTCGGCGTCGGGTTCGGCGTCGGGTTCGGCGTCGGCTTCGGCGTCGGGTACGGCGTCGGGTTCGGCGTCGGGTTCGGCGTCGGGTTCGGCGTCGGGTACGGCGACGGGTTCGGCGTCGGCTTCGGCGTCGGGTACGGCGTCGGGTACGGCGTCGGGTTCGGCGTCGGCTTCGGCGTCGGGTACGGCGTCGGGTACGGCGTCGGGTACGGCGTCGTCCGTCCCGTGCAAACGTATTTGCACACGTCTTGCTGTCCTTGGGTTCCACCGCAGCAATTGCAATAATTGCCCCAATGAATAGTCGGACTACCAGAATTCCAGTGCATGGTGTACCAGTTATACCCACAACGCGTGCATCCCAGCTCACACACTGCTTCAGTCCGTAGCTCTGCGGCGTCCATACCGTCCGACCCATTCACTGACATCTGCATGAGCTGCATATCGGCGCCAACAATGTAACCGAGCGCGGATGCCGCGGGAAAGAACAGCCTGTGTACCATGTTTGTGATGACGAACGCCAAAAAGTGCAGCAATGAATGTTCAGTAGCGACGATCCAACGCGACGCGTTCACCTTGAGCCACAATGGCCACGGAATGGGAGCGAGCGGTTTTGGGCTGCTTTCGGCCTCCAAGGGTCCCCCGCCGGGCCTCGGAGCCGTCAGTAAACGGCCCGCTCCAGGGCCCACGCATCGAACAATTTTGGAGCAGCTGCACTGCACATCTGGGAACGGCATAGTTAAACCTATGGCCCACGGCCGGACCTAGGATACATAAAACCACCCTTCGACAACATGATACCTTCAACATGAAAACGCCAGCGCCGGGAGCGGCGTCGGGAACGGCCTCGGCGTTGCAATGCGATTTCACATCAGCACAACCACTACTATTGACGCCGATGCCGTTTGCAAGCGCAATAATTTGGGCGTCGTCATCTGCGCACTCCAGCGCGGAGCTCAGACCGATCGAGGTCGCCATGGGTACGCTGAGACCGAGAACGACCGCGACAGCGGACCACGCGGTCCAAAATGTCATTTGGACCGTCATCCCACGGAACAGAAAGAAAATGGCCCGACGCTTGCATGTTTCCGCGCGTGTGGAATTCGAGCAAAATGGAAGATGCTCCATGTATGCCTGAACCTAAATGCTTGGGGCGGACGGCCAAATTACACCATGCGCCCACCATGGCCATCACTATTTCGAGAGAGCGGGGGGGGGGATTCTCAAGTGGCGGTCTGGAGGCCGACGCGCGGCACGGTTGACTTCCGAGGTGCGCGTTGCAGCGCGGGCGGGGGGAGAGAAGGGCGGCGAAATAAAGCGATAGAGTTAGCGAGGGAGAGGGAGGGAAGAAGATAGAGGGAGGGAAGGGAGGAATGAATGAATGAATACCTCATGGAATCCCGCCGTCACCTCTGTCATACTGCCACAGCTCGCTGTACCAAGCTTATTTCCAGAGATCGGACTCTGAGTCGGGTTGCTTCTGCACCCCCCAGACATCGAAACAGCCAGCGCACTCTGCTGACAGCGGCACTGGCCATTGTCCTGCATCCCTATTTTTGGGCACACAGCCCGTGGGGCGCAGGCTCCCGAGGCACGGGGGCCCCCCTCGCCCATGCCCACTCGCCGCCCCTCGATCCACCCCCTCGCCTTCGGGGCCCTTCTTAGCTCTAGGGGCGTATATAATCGGAGTGATTGGATGCGGACCCGGAAGAAGTGCCGCAGCATATGTGCTCAGGGCAGGTCGATTAATTATTGCCGATGGGATCGCGCCACGGGCCACGAGTTTACGAGATCGCTCGCTCCCCGAAGAAGCCCCCGAGGTCCCCGAGGTCCTGGGCGGGAGAAAGCACGAACGAGTGGCCCCCAGCAGGGCCTGCTGGGAATGCACGCTGGGCCCATCTATGATGTCGAGGAGCTCTATGTAAGTATTGTGGTTGCTGCTACTGCGTGGTTGCTGACCGCTGCCGCTGCCTACACCTACTCCTCGGGGCCGACCACCTCCGCCAACTCCCTCTCGAGTGGCCCGCGCGGGGCCGCGCCTGCCAGGAGGACCCCCCCCCTCGGATTCCATCGACTGCCCCAGCCGCCCCGAACGAGCGATGCCGAGGTTCGCGTCTCGATGGAAGCTGCACGAAATGGTGGCCTTACGCTTCTCGCCCTGCTCCGCCCTCAGCACCTGCGCCCTTTTGCACGGGATCACCCTGCCCAACTTCTGAGCTGCGATCCCGTTCGCGAAGATCCCTCTGGTGTAGTGCTCCTTAATCTCGTCGCGCAGCATGATCTCCATCTGCTTTGAGCCGTCTGGCAGCTGCGTGCCAGCGCCGCACAGGATAGACTCCATCACCACGCGGACGTGGGGGGGGTGGCCTCGAACTTTGCGGTTGACTTGCTGGCCATCTTTTTCGAGCTTCTTCACCTCGGCGCTCTGGGCGTTGCGCCTGACGCATGCTTCCTCGCCCGCTGCTGCCAGGCCGGCCGTCGCGCCTGGCACCTCGCATCCGCGGTGCACGGCGCTCTTGAGGCCCGCGACCTCGCGAACCAGGGACAGGGTCAACCTGTCGTCCGCCTTCGACGCGCTCCCGACTAAGCTGCGCCTCCTCCTTTCTGCCGGCGCCCTTCACGCCCTTCTTCTCCCAGACCTTCGGGCGCTTCTTCTCTGGGGGGCTGTGCTAAGATGGAAGCCCCGCGACCATCTGGCTCGGCTCGCCATCCGGCATCTTCAACGCGCGGGCGCGGCCGAAACTGGAGGCGGGCGCCGGGGTGAGCGCAGAAATCGCCAAGGCTCGAGCCGTCGAACTCGCAGACAGGGCAGGCGAAGGGGGACGCGGAGATAACCGCTTCCAAGGAAGAGGGGCCCACTGTTTTACAATGTCCACGAAACACAATGTCCATCACATGTTTTGCAGCGTTTGCCTTGCATGCGAATACTTGTCTGCAGTGATCAGATACGTTGGTAGGGGCAGCAGCATGGCGTGCACTGCGGAGCCCATTAGTGCCCATGAGGTGGTTCATGAGATCCCTGCGGGTGCTCGATGATGTCTCACAAGATCCCCCTGGGCTGTCCTCGGGGGGGGGCCGGCATCCCCACGGGCACTGAGCGTCGCCAGGTCCGCGCGGCGTCTCCTCCAGTTCGCAGGGCACAGTGCACTGCCTCGATCTGTAAGCAGAGACATCCACGCCAGCAAAGAGCGAGGCAGTCGCCTCGTCGAGCAACGACCTGAAGTCCTGAGCAACTCCGTCAAATATATCCCGGCCCAGCTTCTCAGCCACGCGGCGGAGGTCTGGGGCACTCAGACGGACGCAATCCCCCCGACGCCGTGAGAGGACCCAATTGTTCAAGAGGAAGTTCCCCGAACAGAGCACCGAGAACCTGAAGATGGTGGAGGGGCCGTTGGGCCCAGCTTTGAACCAATCGAACACGCCGAATACGCAACCCCAGGGATGGGATCGAAAGTTTCCAAAATCTCAAGCTCGACGTTCGTCATCGCGCGCTGGCGACTGCCCCTCCAGCCAACGGCCTTTCCAGCCATCGCAATTCGACAGAATCGAGCAAGAGCGGCCTCCAGCCGAGAATAGTCAGACTCGGTCAGCCCGAAGGCCTGGAGGCCGTTCAAGAGAGAGTTGTAGGCGAAGCCCTGCAATGGTAAACGCTTGAATTTCCACACTGAACCCATATCTGAATGAGACCCAAGAAGCCGTAATACGTCTATCAATTTCATGGCGCGCGGTATCCCGAAGAACCACCCGGGGGCCAGGTATCGAGCTTGTTCATTGATGGAGCCCACGAGATCCACCCCGCCCCTCTTTCTCAATATCTCCTCCAGGCACGCACCGCGCATCTCAAAGAAAACCATAAACTTCTGCTTGGCCATATCCTGCCCGAACCCACGCGGGCCCAATCTAGCATTCAACAGCACATCGCGCTTCCAAATCTGTTTCGCGGGCTCTGGGAGGGTCGAACCGGGGCCTGCATATTTTGAAGACTAAGTCCGTCTCTGTGGCCCTCCCTGGATGCCACTTACTCGCCACTGCGTACATCGTTGCGCTGTACATCCTCGTGCCAGTCAATAATCGGCTGCTTGAAAGTTCAATTGCAAGCCTGCGCTATGTACGGGCCCACCATGAGCCCTCCCTGCTGCGGTCGCAGTGCAATCCCCCCACCCACCCACCCACCCGACCAACCCCCAACCCCAGCAGGCAGAGCAACAACCGCTTCTCGGCACCTAAGCGACAGCAGCATCCATGCGCCCCCAACGGCTGCTGGCGAACGCATGACTCAACTTTTTCATGCACATATGTCCCTCGTCTTCGGCCGCGGACGAACCCGCAGTCAGACTGTCCTGGAAGGCAGCGAAACTTCCTCGCGAAATACGCCTTGCCCGGGACAGGAAGAATGCGAACAACTCGCTTGCCTAGAGGCCCCCTGTCGATGGCTCTTGTGGAGCGGGGCCCATGGCTACAGTTGCAGTTTTTTGAACGGCCCGGTGGGATCTGATCTCCTGGAGCCCGATGCTCAGCAGAAACCAAAAAACTTTACAGGGGGCCTGCGTGGGGGCTCCGAAACA